GTCCAAAGTTGTCTGATCGCTGACAGGAAAGGATGAAATCATACTGTTTGAGCTGAAGGTTATGTTCCGTGATGGTATTAAAACTTCTAACGCCAAATTCTACAGAAATGTAATAAATCAAATAAACTTTACAACCCCATCATTTTAATATAGCATACTGCAGCATTTTCCTATGTCATCATTTCTAGCAAAAGAACAGTTTTGTTACCGTTGATGACTCAAATGACTCATGTCTTGTCAAAGGATTTTGGTCACGCCGCCCACTCTTACTGTTCAGTATCAATGGGGATTTTTTTTCAACAGAAGTATGTTTGCACCTTCTGGCATGACCGTCTGTGCATGGGACTGTTTGCTTTCCACACCTACTCAAGCCGCAGAAATATATTATTGCTTATTTTTCAATTTAATTTTGCCACAAAGTTGCCACTACTCTCCTGTGGATCTGACATGTGTGTGCACATACCTGTAATTCTGTCGAGTTATTGCTTTCCTTCGCCCTCAGTGTTTTTCTATTTTTCTGGTACATTGTCTCCAATTTAGCATTGTCTTCATCAGGCAGGAAATTCACACCAAAGGTGTCTCCTGTAGAAGTGTGGCAGTTGTAAGTTACTAACAATGAGTTATATTTATCTAGCACAAATGCAATGAGGACCTATATTCACCATTTACTAAACTACAGTATATAAAAAAAAAAAAAAAGTATCCTCTCTGGGATGTGTCACAATTATTCAGTACCCGACTAACAACTTTTTGTGACACTTTATTTTAAGGTGTCCTTGTTACACATGTTACATGTGCTTACTATTATAATAACAACAAATGATGCATAATTACTGTACATGCATGTAACCCTAATCATATAGCAAGTACATGTAGCTAATTAATATTACTCAGTACTTAAATGTATAATTACACTGTAACAAGGACACCTTAAAATAAAGTGTAACCCAACTTTTTTATAGATGTTCATTAGAGCAAAATCTTGTCTAATAATATAGCGTATTACAACTATAATTATGACTGATTAGTAACACATGGGTTCAATGTTAAATGTTTTAGGTTATGGCAACAGAATCAAACTTTTGTGTACATGTGCATTTACACTACACTGTAAAAAAAATCCATAAAATTTACTGTAAAAAAACGGCAGCTATGGTTGCCGGAATTTTACCGTAAAAAATACGGTAGCAACGTTTTAGGTTGTACGGTTTTAACTTAAATTTGCAGTTAAATACCGTAATGTCATTAACTGATATAATGTTATATATATACCAACCTTATTGAAGTACTGAAATCTGTTTTGTACCTTTGTAATACACTGATAACCACCAAATGCAGGTGGTGATGAGAAAGTCACATGATGAACCAAAGCCCATCACAAGCAGCTTTTAAATAATAACATGTATAGAAGGTGCACAGTGTCATTCACACAAACGCTAAACACCATCATGGTAACACACATGAAACTGAAATAATGCAATAAACATTAATTTAACAACATTATGTGTAACATACAACCCTAATGTACAAAACTGATAAGAAAAAACTAAGAAGAAACTGTTATTTCAACAAAAAAACATCAAATTTGAAATGTAACGCAGGGAATTCTGGGAATGTCAATTTGCGGTTATTCACTGTAAATTATACGTTTTTTTTCACTTCCAAAAACGGTATACTAGCATAAAATTAATGTCCAATACATGTAATGTCCAATACAGTTTTTCACCGTTTATAGTAGGGGAATTTACCGTTAACCATTTAACAGGTTTTTACTGTAGCATTTTTACAGTCTTTTACCATTAAATTCACGGTCATTTTTTACAGTGTACACCAAAAAAGAACTAATAAAACGAAGAAACACCCTAATTTAACTAAAACAGCAGTTTTAATATTTTTTGTACATTATATAGGTGTTTTGATTAGAGATTATAAAGCCTCATATCCTGTAAGACTGGAAACATGCATTAAAGTTGCACTTTTTTTCTAATTAAAATTACACACATAGCAGTTAAGTGAATATCTTTGAATTGCAGGACTCATTAATTCTTTATATCATTTGAATTGCGATTCTGCATCCTGATTGCTACCTCAGTTTAAAATCAGGAATTAAGCTGTATTTAAAAGACAATCACAGCCCTGATTGATAGCATGTGTGACATTCTCCTGTGCCGTGCTCCATTTGTTCCCTTCTTACCTTCTTTATCTTCTCTTCATTGTTCTTTTCCTTTGCTCTGATCCAATTTTCTATATTCGCAATGTAATTACAGTCGCATACCGTCTGCAAACTACAGCCTATTACTCACAGTATTATTGACTGTTCACCTACTTTACAGACTCCAGACGAGCCAATCATTGCTCATCTTTAAGAAAAAAAACAGTTTTTTTTTCTATGATGAATGTCTGTGATTAAAGTTAATGGGATCGCTTAGCTTAATTCAATCTTTATATTGCGCGGCAGTTAGAGCTCTGTTATATTTCCATCTACTCTTTGCTTGAGTTCTACCATATTAACTTGCTATTGTTTCTTTAACCTCAGAATACTGAAGACTTGAAGCCCGAGACATGTCATCCCTATATTAGAAAAAAAAAAAGTATGCATACAGCAAATAATAATAATAATAATTCTCTCATGCTCTCATTTACTCCACTGCCGTTACAGCTGCACTTCACTTTAGCACTGCGTACGCACACTTCTCTCGGCTCAGTGTGAGGAGCCAAGTATCGCAGTTAGCATGTTTAAAGAATGTTAATGTCACTGAGGTAAAATTAACCAGAAGAACAGAAAATCCATCGATGGTGTTAAAAGAGTCGAGAATTCTCAGCTGAGTCAGAACTCTGAATAATAATAGTCTTGATCACAACAGTCGTCTACCGTAGTTTTGCGGTAGTGTACAATGTCTGCACTTTTTCCTCACTGTCAGAAAGCCTCATAAAGACGCCCTTCATGTCTTTGCAGTCCTGGAATGCTCTGAAATAACCAATAGTCAAGCTTGTTTAAGAAAAATATATACGGTATAAAAAATAAATAAACACTGTGTGCGTGGTCACCTTAAAGAGAAACAGACTTCTGGGAACTTTCAGTGTTTAAAACTGTGTGGGTTCATTTTAATTTCCAGCCACTAACATTTTTGAAACATTTTTGTACTATAAGTTGTTGCATTTTTTTTTGTCAGCGTATTATACATTTTATGTAATATCATTCATTAGAACCCTTGGCGTAAACATTCACCAGTGTTAAAATGATTTTTCAGAGATTTATGAAATAAAGATTACTGAAGTATACTGTTTATGTTTTTCTACTTGAAAATTCACATTTCATTTTGCCGTTCCTTGTAATTATGTGTGAAATTTACGAGCAATTTCTGAGTGAAAATTGCTTACGGCAAGGAACACATTGAAATGAACGTGAAATTTTGAAGCAGAAAGACTGAAATAGTATTTTCTTGTCTCCAATAATCTTTGTTTTATTTACAGCTTTAAAAAATACTTTGACAGTGCGATGTATAATGTAGAAAAAAATATCTCTGCACATCTTTTGAGCTTCCACCTCTTTTCCTGCAGATGGGAAGCTCAGTGTTGTGGAGGAAGTAGCAGTTGATAGTCAGCTCTGCTTTCCTTACTGTTTATGTCTGGAGGTACGGTGCAGATAGCAGACGGGAGGTTTTTAGAGAGCTTTTGAGAAGGTGGTCTGGAATGAATTCGCACTTGATTCCAAATAGACGACCAGTGAAAAGCAGTCACATTTTTTGCTCCTTATTGCAGCCAAACCAGAACAAGATGTCCTTTGATGGCCTGTAGACTCGTTGCATCACTGGCACTGGTGTGGGAATACTGACCTGGATGTGTGGAAGCGCGCGGGTCTGACTGCAAACGTGTACAGTCAGGAGAAGAGCGGGAAACTGCTCGACACAGACTGCCTCCTTTTCCAGTGGCTTGGCTTCTGGAAATACTCTTTTTCCATTTGTTTTCTCCATTAGGCATTTCAGACATTTCTTCAGTAAAGTGTACTAAACCTTGAACCAGACCAACCAACTCTGAGATGAATCGTTATTTACAGTATAATGTCAGTGCTTGACATATGTGACCCTGGACCACAAAAGCAGTCATAAGGGTCAATTTTTTGATATTGAGATTTATACACCATCTCAAAGCTGAATAAATAGCTTTCCATTGATGTGTGGTTTGTTAGGATAGGACAATATTTGGCTGAGATACAACTATTTGAAAATCTGGAATCTGAGGGTGCAAAAAAAATCTAAATATTGAGAAAATCGACTTTAAAGTTGTCCAAATGAAGTTCTTAGCAATGCATATTACTAATCAAAAATTAAGTTTTGATATATTTACGGTAGGACATTTACAAAATATCTTCATGGAACATGATCTTTACTTAATATCCTAATGATTTTTGGCATAAAAGAAAAATCTGTAATTTTGACCCATACAATGTTTTTTTGGCTATTGCTACAAATATACCCCAGCGACTTAAGACTGCTTTTGTGTTCCAGGGTCACATATTTCATTTAAATCTGAGGAAAAAAAAATCCCAATATATTAAAAGAGAGAAAACAGTCTAGTCACAGACTAGAAAAGTCATTTACTTATACGGTAATGTCGAATTCTGAAATCACACTGGGATTCATTCTATTAGTGAATTGATAAATGGTTGATACATTTGATTGACTTTTGTTAAGAGTAGAGTAGAGTTTGTTGCTTATTTTGAACCGTATTGGACCAGAATAGAAGTCAGACATCGGCCTTGTAAGGGAAATGGTCAGGCTGGGGGAAAAACAGTCTGGCGTGCAGATTATCTTGTTTTGAAACACACATCAGTAACTAGCGGTAAACTAACAGTGCTTGGCGTCCTCGTACACTGCCAAACCCTGGCCAGACCACAAACATTCTAATGGGCTGTTTGATTTCTGTTAAAATATGCTTTCGTTTGAGGTGCTAATAGCTGAATGCACTCATTATTTGTTTTGCCTCTTCTTTTTTTGTAGCTCCAAAAACCTGCAGCCCCAAGCAGTTTGTTTGCAGGGATCAGGTGACGTGTATCTCAAAAGGTTGGCGGTGTGACGGGGAGAAGGACTGCCCGGACGGATCGGACGAGGCCCCAGATGTCTGTATGTATCACTGTTTCTCTGCCATCAGCTGCTTTCGGGTTTTATTTGCATTTTAAACCTTGAGTACACTGATAGTCTCACAGGGCCTGCAAATAATTGTTGCAGTACGTACAGGTAATCACTGCAGGTCTGCATTTCTTTCTGTAGCACCAGATTTTCCTAGAAAATGTCCTCGGTTTGATTCCCAGCTGGAGGCCTTATGAGTTTGCTCTCTGTGCTTTGGTTTCTTCTATGATCCAAAGACAGTAAACTGGAGACTGTCAATAGGTGTGTGAGTATGTATGTCTATGTCTTATCCATCCAGGGTGTTGGACTTTGGAAAATGGATGGATGGATTTGGTTTTTAGATTTTAGATGTTGCTCTGGAAGGCCCTTTAGATTTATTTTGTTCCACAAAAACACTAAAAAGCAACAAAACCCACCACAGCACTTGAGCACCTGCTCTATGCACTGCAACATTTTCCTGATGCATGCAGTCACTGCATACCATGACAAAAAAATTTGAATTTTTAGGTAATTTGATCCAACATGTAATTGTTTGTTGACTTGTCTTATGAGAATCCCTGAAAAAAATAAATAAAATAAAAATATATATATATATTCAGACAAAAGTATCTGGGCTAAAACGCCGACATGGTGCTGAGGCAAAAAAATAAATAAAATAAAATAAAAGGCAGAATGCCTGAACTGCGATTAGTTGTTTTCCATTACAAAAACATGTGCAAAGTCTATTTATATTTACATGATTTTTAAAAACAAGCTTTCACCATTTCTTTTTACACAAATTATGTCAACATTTAATAAATAAAAAAAACTAAATATTTTTTTGGTCTCAAATAGGGCTGCACGATTAATCGAATGTGATTGTCATGCGCATTTTGATAGTAATGCCGGTTCTGTAATCAGCAGTAAATCATCATCACGTTCGCAGCTTCTGTCGAATCGCGATCTCGATTCCATTTCGATTTATTGTGCAGCCCTAGTCTCAAACTATATTGTCATTAATAAATGCATCTGTTGGACCTCTTAGCCATTTATATATATATATATATATATATATATATAAATATAGTGGTTTGAGATGAAGATTTTAATGGAATCTGAGCGTGGTTATGTCCCACCACAGGCTGTGTGCAGCTGTTACGTGTTTCTGATTGGAGCTATCACTGTTTGGTTTCTTTGAGTGGTCACTCTGTTTCCCAGATGACTTTGACCTGAAACGCACGTTCTTTCGCTCTTCTTGTTTAGTCTGATCAGTTCCAATGACATTGACTTAATGTGGCCTTGTTGATATCTGTTTACGCTATCAAGAGGACACTGCGAGTACTAGACCTGTTTTCCTATAACCTATATTTGGTGCAACACAACAAATTTATATCGCTGTCATAAACAACCCATCAAAATGCCTTCAGTTAATGGACAACCTCTTTCTATTTATCTACGTACCCACTCCAACTAGTTTTTCCCAGTCTGACAAGAATATCATTGCTTTTTCCAACATATATAATTGAGTTGATAGTATTTTGAGTCCTTATATATTAGATAATAATACACTAAAACCAGATTATATTTTTGCTGTGTTAATGGAGAATACGATCTCAGGTGTCATTACCAAATTAAACATGCTTTAAAGGTACAATTGCTATACAGCATGTAAACACTTTCACTCCCTTATTTGCTTACAAAATATTGTCTGGTGTCATTGTTTGAGAGCTTTCAATTTTGGAAACATGCTTTTTCACCATTAATGATGCCTGTGTTAATGCACTTTTTGGTCAGAATAGTCAACAGTGGAGCGCTGAGGTGATGGTGTTTTTTTTTTTTTTTGTAAGCGAACATGTAAGTCAGCATCACCCTGGTTCCCTTGACAAAAACCCCATAGATTTTTCCATTGACTTTTGGATAATTGCAGAAAATATGCTCTGTGACAAACAAAAGTTTAAGATTCTTACATGTTCCGTTCATCATGATAATCTTCACAAATTAACACATTTTGAGGCCTAAATACTGTCAGCAGAAGTAAAAAGCTAAACATAGGCTAGAAATGAACTACACCATGGTCACATTTTCCCTGAAAGTTTGAGTAGAATAGTTTTGAAGGGCTCGATTATAACAGGGCTTAAAGTTCTCCGGCATCGTGCCAGATCTCCGGCATGTGGCGTTTAGCTGCGGGAAAATAAGATAGTCCTTCTACATTAAAAAAAAACTTGTTGATATCACGTTCGAGTTAATGAGTTCGCCTACCAGTGTATGAGAGGAACACAGCTTTCACTCTCAGCCAAACTAACGTTACTAGATAATCAGACATTTTTGTTCCCATAAACATGAGTAATAGCTAGTATCCAACTGTCACAAGAGTCGCAGCTGATGAGCGCGACACATTCTGAAAAAGCTGCGAGGTGCAATGGTCAAAGATTTCCATCTAGAGCCATATTTATATAGAAAAGCACTTAGTTCTATTTGTATTACTAAAACATACTTGTCAAAATAATCAGTAGATTACTTGATTAGCAAAATAATTGTTAGTTAAGCCCTAGATTTTCAAAATATAACTGCATTGTTCTATTTTTTGTAATTACATGTGCTGCACTTTATTTGTACCATTTGTTTTATTAGTTTATATATTAGAATTTGAAAGACAATAACAATATTTTTTTGATAAGTGAGATCTGATTTTAGTCCGTGAAAACCAAAAGAGTAGTCCTTGAAAAGTCCTTGAAAGTCCTGGAAATTCATTTTGCTGTCAAGGACAAATCTAACCAGCAAAACTTGATATCAAAAGCATCCTAAATGTTACATGTGTTTGCATTATAGTGAGTAACCTTTCCTGGTATTGCTCAAATATCCCTCCATAATCTGTAGTCTGATCCTGTCAAGGGCTAATGGCAAGGGCAAATATGTTACTAGTTAGTTTCAAGGAAAATCATTTTCAAATAATGTTCTTTTTTTTTTGTTGCCAAATAACCCTGTGTATGTGTCCACCCCCGCAACCCCCAACCCCCGGAAAAAAGTTCAGGCTCAGGATTTTTTTTTTTTGCTTTAACCCCTGTTATAAACACGAGGCTGTGAAAGCGGCTAGTGAGTAGATGAGTTTACCTCTTTTGCCATGATGACATGGCTCTGTAGTACCATTTAGACACTTTTTCAAGAAAAGTAGAAGCGTTAAAGACATCACAGAGCGGTATTGCTGATGTATTTTACGTTGTAGAATAAAACGTGAACATATCTTGAGCTTGTGTGAATCACAAACCTAATTTTGGGCGATTTACCAAAATTCCATAAAAAAAAAAAACATTGACTTTGGGACAATGGAGCTGGAAGTGCGACATTGCAAACTCGGGTTTCCAGGTTTTGGCTTAAATATGTCATCCCTGCAGGACTCATATAACTATTGAAAAATATGTCACCTAGAACTGCGCCAGATTTACATTCGTTTGAATGAGAGAAAGCGAAGATCAATTTAACAACAGCTTCTACTCTCAGGTCGGGTTGAAAGTTTTCGACTCTCAGCGTGCGAAGTACGCGAGTGTGAAGTATCTTTCCATTCACACCCTTTCTGGCAGGGCCGCCTAATAGAAATGTGTTAAGCAAATAGTGTGCCGTCAGTTTATCATGGGGCGAGCGGGGGAAGGGGACCAACGTAATTAGAATTAACTCGCTACTTGAAATCTGGCCCTGGAAAACAATGGTGCAGTTCATGAGGCAGCATTAGGACTTAAGGAATGTTTGTAGTCCTTCGTCACAACCAATTACATGCTTTGAAATAATTTATCTTTCTCTAAAGAGCTGGCGTGGCTTGCAGAAGTGTTGGGTAAGAGCAGAGCTGAAGTACAAGCAGTTCGCAGAGACTGAATCCGCTCCATAAGAGGAGGAGAGGAGAAACAGAGGCTGAGCTGCCTTCAGTCTGGAAGTCATTAAAACCCCGTCCAGAGGAATGGAGGAAAACTGCTGTTTTTTCATGACCTGCTTTTCTCAGCACAAAAGTTCTCTCTCTCTCTCGCTTTTCCTCTCTCAACACACATAGACAACTGACAACCTAGTCTTCAGCATTCTTTATTTTTGCTGCGCTACAGGGTATTGACTCCATTACGCTCTTTGCATTAAAATTAGGCAGTCTTTTCTTAATACTTTGTGAGCCGATGTGACGTCTTACTCGCTGCTTTAGTAAAATGTTCCGCTGCTCTGAAAAGGATGAAAATTCTGTCATCGTTTACTCAACCTTATTCCAAACTAATAGGAATTTCTTGTGCCATTGAATGCAAAAGATGTTTTGAAGAATCTCTGAGCTGCTCTTTTCTATACAATAAACATGTTTAGTGATTAGTTACCATGGGCGTAGAATATGCGGAAGCACATTCGGAAGTCTTCGGAAGCCACAGAAAGAGCAGAGTTTTAACTGTAATTCACTGGAAATACTACCCTTCGCTGTACCGCTCAAATCTACGGTGGCCGAGAAGTGCAAAACAAATCACAATTCTGAAAACAAAATAACAAATTACAAACGCAAATGCAAGTCTAAAAAACACAACAACAATTCAGAAAACATTATAACAAGTCAGAAAACACAATGACAAATTCGAAAACAAAATAACATCTGACTTGTTATAATGTTTTCTGAATTGTTGTTGTGCTTTCTGAATTGTTATTTTGTTTTTTAGACTTGCATTTGCGTTTGTAATTTGTTATTTTGTTTTCAGAATTGTGATTTGCTTTTCACTTCTCGGCCACCATACAAATCTGATTCACAAAGGCATATATTCGAACATGTGTCACATCACAGCACACTACTTTTTGCAGCAAGAACCATTTTGTTCACACTTTAAGTGAAAAGGTACCATGGATATTAAAGGTTCTTCACTGAATCACAGATGCCATTAAAGAACCTTAATTTTCAAAAGTGCAACGTGTCTTCATGCACATGCATTTGAGGTTTTTTATACTTTTTCATGCTTTCGTTATTGGGGAAACAGCAGCTCAGACGTCCTTCGAATGTTATTTTGCAGAAAGTCTAATTTAGACTAACACTATGAATATAGATGCTGATAGAATTTAAACAGAAAATATCACCTATATCATGCTTAACTAGGATGTGTGTGGAAACGTGCTCTGTTTGTGGATCCATCAGTGCAGATGCCTCAGATCATTGAAGATCTGCCCCATGAAAGAGGTTTATTTATTTACGTGGCTGGATTTCACTGTGTCTTTTGTGAAAGTGGCCACGGCTAGCAGTGAAGTCTGTCGCTGTGCCCGCTGCAGCTGCTGTGGCCGTCCTCTGTGGACCACTGCAACACAATAGACAGCTTTGTAACACCAATCCTGAGCTTCAGCAAGATTCACTGCCTTTAGGAAGAAAGTAATTATCATCCCTTTATCATCAAATGTCAAATGTGTACTGTATATATTAAAACATGCAATATGTTTGTTTGTTATGGGAATATCTTTCTACTCATCTATGTATCTATCCACTCATCTATCTACTAGAGAAGAGATCTTAATTGAGGTCTCACTCAAAAGTGTGTTAGAGATCAATATTGTCAGTTTTCACAAAAGCAGAAACATATGCAATGGGTCTCAGCCATATATTGAATACTTTTTCAATATATTCCATATTGGTTTTATAAAATGAAATGACATCATGAATATCATCATGATTTTAATGTACTTTTAGTTTGGTCAGGTACTTAAAGACTGTGCCTGTATACCCATTTCTTACCTCTGGCTTGTAGCACATTTCACCTGTAAAGTACTAAGAAAGAGATCATTTAAAAGTGAGAATATAATTTAGCAAAAACAAACAAACAGTTAAAAAGGACCCCCCTCCCCTGTATTTTATCTTTTTTTAAAGCATTTTGAATCCAATTGGCAACAATAACTCTTTAGTTGAAATGATGGTTCCTCTGGTTAACCTTTATATAATTTTGAAGTATAATAATAATAATAATAATAATAATTATTATATAATTATTATTAATAATAATAATAATTATTATTATTATATAATTAATAATAATAATTATTATTATTATATAATTAATAATAATAATTATTATTATTATATAATTAATAATAATAATTATTATTATTATATAATTAATAATAATAATTATTATTATTATTATTATTACTAAACTAAAATTCCAACTGCATTTAATTAAATAATATAAAATGAAGAGATAGAACAAAAAAAGAGCTCTTAGATGCAATACCTCGCACTGTACCTTCAACTAAACCTCGCTTCATCCCAGAGTTGTGAGCAGCCTATGGCTGTAACATGTGTGTGCAAAAGTCATTTAGATCTGTCTCACGTTGAGAGGGTTGAAGGTCTGAGCTCTGATCTCACAGTGGAGCTCTGACCTGCTGTGCTGAGATGAGAAGAGTCTGTTGTTTAACATCTGACAGCTGGAAAAATGAACCGAGCATAAAATATCAGCTATGTGTTTAGCTTTAGAGGTTAAATTCTACAAAATGTTTAATCATTTATACACCTACTTGGTTGGCGGACTCATTGTGCATTGAAGAGTTCAATATCTGTGCTATTAAAATGCAGAATGAATGATTTTCTCCCTCTAGCACAAAGAGTGTCAGCTGTAGTCTTTGTAAGAGGTGGTAAATCTGCTTCAAATCAGTAATGCCTAATTAAACAGGTGGATTATTTTTTTCCACAGGGTATTTAACCTGATCTGTCTCGGTTCTGTTATTGGTATTTCTTCATCCCTTGCTTTTAATCATGCAGTACCTGATCATTTACTGTAACTGTAGATTTTGTTCTAAGATGAAGAACTTGAATTCATTTGAATTCAAAATTAAATTTTGCATGATACAGTAAGTTTTAGTACTCAAAAGGAGTATTTTTTTAAACCAAATTACAAATATGACTTGCACTCTGCTTCCTCCATATTGTGACATCACTGTGAAACCTATTAGCATATGACTGCCACCACAGCAACACATCAATGTCTACTTTCACAATATTGCCTCTTTATGCCTATTTACAATCATTACTAAAGTGGGATATAAAATATTCCTTGACTGACTGCAGAACAGTTCTGACCTATCAGGTCCAGTCCATCTGATTTAAGCTACTGGGGTTATTACTGTATGTTGCTCTAGGTACACATACCTACACATGTCATGTGATATCTTGTGGAGTCCCCCAAGGCTCAATTCTGGGTTCTTTATTGTTTTTTTTGTTTGTTTGTTTTTTACATATATATGCTTCCATCATTTAGTACTCTGCTGGAATGCACAGAGAACATACATTAGCTTTCAGATGAGGTATAAATCTCAATTGTGAAAAATTGACACTTAAGACTGGTTTTGTGGTCCAGGGTCACATATACTATTCCAAAGTGATTTCTGTCATTTTGACAGATAATAACTTGTATTTTCTTATGAAAACAAACCTGGAAGGAGACGTGAGGATTTGAGGAGAAAAACAAGAGATTCTTTGTGCATTCCAGTGAATTATTAATGGGATATATCGTAAATTAAATTGGGAGAACAGACCACATATGTGCAGTATATGTTGTCTTTTGATACTATTCCAGCGGAATGCAAAGGGGAAAAAAAGAAAATAATCATGAGGAAAAGAATGCAGCGACTGAAAAGAGCTCTAGCCATAGATATTCTTGTTATAACATGTCTAGTTAAAACATCAAGCGTTACGTTATTCTCTTGATGGCTGAAAATTAAACATGAAGGAAAATCGACAGCAGCTCATTCAGTCAAACAGACGGATACGTTTTATTTGTAGGGCAACCTTATGATTTGAAATGATTCGTTCTGTGTGTTAGTTCCCCAAACCGGAAGTGTCACCCATAATTCAAAACGCAGTAGGCTCGTCAGGAATAAGATGGATACAAAATTACAAAACACATGTGACAGCCTGATATTTAATACAAATACCTCTGGTATTAGAACACAGTTCAGCCTTTCAGTTCAAATCTGCCTTCACTCAATATTTGACCCTTGCCCTAAATTGTTTTACCTGGTTTGAGTTTTACTCGAGCATCTGTTACCTATAAATGAGAGAAATAAACTAGCTGTCAGCATGTGAAAACTGCACTAGTGCGCTCCATATTCTGTCTTTATATTTCAAAATCTCACTCTTTGCCTCATTTGTCTGACTGGCATGTGGTCTTGTCACAGGGGCCCCAGGTCACGTTCCCCATGTGCTGGGTCTTATTCCAGAGTTTTCCATGTGGCTGAGGTTTTCTGACCCTTCGACGAGAGTTTCCACCTCCGGATCCTCTGGAACGCCACATGTGATCATAATATTACAAGAGGCTTATGGTCTCAGCACACTCCTGTGGAAGGTGTCCACAATCCCTCACGCTTACAGGACCCCTGGGAGAGCAACAGTGCCAAAGCTAGGCTTTCAAATGTCCCAGAACAGCTGCAGGTTTTAAGGTTTCAAACTATTTTGTAATATCATTCAAAGCTTCTTGCTCTAAAGACATGGCTTTTTTGTGAGCTTTTTTTCCATAAACATCTAAAATTACAGTAAAGTAGAGAGTGTGTAAAGTAAAAAACAAACATGTCTGGCACAAATGTATTCTGTGTTACATGTATGAACTAAATTATGAAGAAGGAGGCACTGAAGATGCGTTTGAGTTCTGCAAGGTATATTTTCAGTGGCTTTTTTGAAAAAAAAAGAGGCAATTTGGCAAATGACGTGTTCTAAAGAACTTTTCCCATTCATTTGCTATTAATTATTATTGTTTTAATTATATTTACACACATCATGAAGAAGAATATTTTTTTCTCTAGTTATGCTCTGAAATTGCTAGAATTTGCTGTTTGTGTGAAAGATGTAAAATATGAGAATAAAATATATAAGAATAGAAATATTCTGAAAGTGCCAAAGACCCAATGTCAATATAGAAGACTGAAACTGGGATTTGAGAATGTATTTTGACAGAAGACCGTACACATCCTCTCCCACACGCTTCTTAAAAACCTGTGTCATAGCGTACTAAATACAGCACTGCTGATATGTGTTTGTACTGGCACTGTATTCATGATCTCATCTGTAAACTAGACATTCATGGAACATTTATTGTTTTAAAACTCTGCTGTGTTGCATCATCTTTCTGCAATAACACGTTCGCTCATTTCTGGTCAATAATTTGGGGACTTTTGGTCCGTTTTCACTCCACGCCCAGCGTTCTGTCCACTCCAGAGCGGACGAGAGCCCAGACACACAAATACAACTCATCCAGTGACTCAGAGACAAACACTTGACCGCACACTTATGGACACAGTCATAATAAAACCATAAACTGGGATATTTAACCAACCGTGTTTGAAAGCAAGAAAGAAAATGATGCATCTGTTATATGAGGTTAAAAAAGAAGTATTTTTCAGATTGTTACAGGAAACAGTTTCTAAAATAACAGATGCCAGTAAATTGTAGTATTCCTTCAAAATATCTTCCCTACACTTTAAACATATGAATTCTTGTTCCAGGGTTAACATGTGGCACATAATGCTATTGAGCCATTTCAGCATATCACCTTGAGGTTTTGATGCAATCTAAAGTAGGATGCTTTTGTAGTATCATCATCTTTATGCTTTTGTTATCTGCTCTCTCTCTCAGGTCCTCATAACCGTGTGTCGCGGTGTCCTCCTAATGAACATCAGTGTCTGGGATCAGACTTGTGTGTTCACATGAGCAAGCTGTGTAACGGCGTCCCCGACTGCACTGATGGAGGAGACGAGGGGGCGCACTGCAGAGGTAATGACGACAAACATTGCTTGGTTATAAATCGCTATATATAATTGCTATATGCTATACTGTATATAAATATTACTAGTATTAATAATATCAATCTTTCTGTGGAAAATATAGCTTGGGGCCTGAAACAGATACTAGTTGAACTTCAAAGTTCAAATTTCCATGGAAATAAACCATTGGCCAAACAGCAAAAATTGTACTTTAAAGGATTAGTTCACTTTCAAATAAAAATTTCCTGATAATTTACTCACCCCCAGGTCATCCAAGATGTTTACGTCTTTCTTTCTTCAGTCGAAAAGAAATTAAGGTTTTTGATGAAAACATTCCAGGATTATTCTCCTTATAGTGGACTTCAACGGCTACCAAACGGTTGAAGGTCAAAATTACAGTTTCAGTGCAGCTTCAAAGGGCTCTACACGATACCAGACGAGGAATAAGGGTCTTATCTAGCTAAACGATCGGTCATTTTCTAAAAAAAAAAAAAAAGTATATGCTTTATAAACAAAAATGTGCGCCTTGCACTGCTCTGCGATGCGTGTCCATGACTCCACGTAATACGTAATTACGTTGAAAAGGTAATGTTATAATATTCCAGAAGATCACAAAGAACTTCAGGGTAACAAGGATCTACAGGCGTCTCTTGCATTGGATTCAGACAAACACTGAACATGAATGATGTGCACAGCAGGATACTCCAGTAAGGAGGAAGCCACTTCCCTCCAAGAAGAATACTATTGCCTGTCTAAAAATTGCCAAATACCACAAGGATAAGCCAGAAAACTACTGGAAGTATTGATTTGTTAGTGGATGAGTCCAAAGTAAAACAGTTTGGTTAAGAAAAATTACATTTGGCAAAACCAACACGCCACATTCAATAACAGCAACCGCATCCCAACTGTAAAGCACAGGGATGGCGGTATAATTATTTGGTTTGTTTAATTATTTGCTTTCCTGCCTCTGGACCAGGACAGATTGCCATCATTGATGAAACTATGAATGCTTTGTTATCTGAGAAAATTCCGCTAGTGAAGGAGTAAGGAGGAACGGCCAAAGGAGTGATCCACAAGACTGATCCACATTTACTGGAAACTGTGTGATCACAATCCAAAATAAATAAACAAACAAATACAAATCTGCTGATTTCCCCCCAAAATGTACAATGTTTTATGACATTTTATATGCAGTAGTTGTACATTTTTAAGATCTGACCTCAATACAGAGTTCTGGCATGAAACTCTGATGGCGCAGTCCGATAGGTCTAACTCAATCTGACGTAATGACATCATTATCACATGGCACAGCTGATTGGTTCTCTCCTGTATATGACTAGAGCTTGCCGTAGCAGTGCAGCTTGCTTCAGAAACCATCCCCTTTCCCCAGCTCCACCTGTATATAGATCTGCTACGAGGTAATTCATGTACGCTATATGGGGGTTATTTCATATGAGTTGTATGCGCAGCAGCAGTATTTCTTACATGCTCACAGCAGCATGTTGTGGATGTATTGGCAGTAGCAAGTCTCGGTACTTGCTCTGCTGCAGCAGCAGTGTAGCAGATCTATTCCGCCAAGACCAAATCTTAACTTTGATAAAGAATATCTCTTTGGTTTTGAGACTTTAGTCTTTGCAACTTCAGGGATCTTATCTATACACAATCAGCTTGTAACACTCCAAAGAGAAAGGAAAACTTGAAATCGCATCATATGACCCCTTTAAATTTTTTGATGATCTGAAACATTAAAGTGTGACAAACATGCAAAAAAATAAGAAATCAGGAAGGGGGCCAACACTTTTTCACACCACTTTATATGACTAGAGCTTGCCGTAGCAGTGCAGCTTGCTTCAGAAACCCTCCCCTTTCCCCAGCTCCACCTGTATATAGATCTGCTACGAGGTAATTCATGTACGCTATATGGGGTTTATTTCATATGAGTTGTATGCGCAGCAGCAGTATTTCTTACATGCTCACAGCAGCATGTTGTGGATGTATTGGCAGTAGCAAGTCTCGGTACTTGCTCTGCTGCAGCAGCAGTGTAGCAGATCTATTCCGCCAAGACCAAATACATTAACATTGTCATGTACATTACCATGCTAAACCCTTCCGAGAGTTGTCATGACAGAAATGTAGTTCAAATAGTGTATACAAGGAAAGGAAAATTCTTAATGGGTTTTCATATGCGATTAACCTTGATTTACCTTTTATCTATTTTAGCTTCACCCCCATATGCACACACATAGCTGTAGTCACTCTCTTTAGGCACTAGTGGGTAAGCTATAGTGAGGTGACACAAACCTGTCTGGACATAAACACACAGGCGTGTATTTGTATGGTGTTTCAGGAGCATGAATTGAGAGATGAGTGCAGACAATCTAGCCCTTGTAATGTTTGTGTGGCTGTACGTAATGATGCTGGAAAGCACTTTGGTCAATGGCAGTTGTTTTAAATGTGCTATAGAAATAAAATTTGTATTGTTGTATTGTATTGTAATGCACACACACATCTCAGTAATCACCTTCTGTGTGAATAAGTATTAATATTAATAGATAATTTAGAATGACAACAGTTGCATTTCTCAGTATGCACTTATGTCTTTAAAGTCCTGCACAATTGCAAACTCTAGTATGTGATGGCCAATTTTCATGACCTAATAAAATGGATTGCTAATATAATTTCATATTGTTTCTACATTATGAGTAGCTTTGTAAACTGTAGTTCTGTCATGACAACACTATGGTAATGTACATGACAATGTTAATGTATTTGGTCTTGGCAGAATAGATCTGCGGTGCTGCTGCTGCGGCAGAGCAAGTACAGAGACTTGCTACTGCCAATACATCCACAACATGCTGCTGTGAGCATCTAAGAAATATTGCTGCTGCAAATATAACATACATGAAATAACCCCCATATAGCATACATGAATCACCTCGTAGCAGATCTATACAGGTGGAGCTGGGGAAGGTGAAGGGTTTCTGAAG